GAAGGTCACCAAACTTCAAAACTTCCCTAATTAGTCACTGACCTTCACAAAAAGTTCCTAAGAGGTCATTGAACTTCAACACTATCCTAAATAGTCACTGAACTTTCCTAAAATTTCTTAGGAGGTCATCGAATTTCGGAAATTGTGATCCCATACATCAATGATTTAGTAACCCCCAGGAATTTTTTGCAAAGTTGAGTGACTAATTAAGGTAGTTCTGAAAAAATTCAGTGACTATTTAGGGTAGTTTCGAAGTTCGATGACCTCCTAGGAACATTTTGCGAAGTTCAGTGACTAATTAGGGAAGTTTTGAAATTCAGTGACCTGTTGAGAACTTTTAACAAAGTTTAGTGACTATTTAGGGTATTAACCCTTGAAATGACGCTCAAACTTTTTTTTTTCTTGGCCAAATTTCATGGTTTAGAGTTCCGTAAATACATTTTTTTGGATAAATTTTTATTTAATAAATTCAGATTAATTTATTTCGGATTAATTCTTAATATTAGGGAGTTTAATTTTTCGTAGTTATCTTTAATTTTTATCGTTATTTAAAGTTAATCATCATCAAAAAGTTTTAATTATTATTCATATTTTATCTACTTTTTTAAATGACAGTGAATTTTAATATAATAAAGAGATTTGAGAAATTTCTTAGAATTGTCCACATCCGTTTATGGAAATATCTATCAAATCACATCAAGTTTCTCTATGAAATGCATTTAAGCAAGGGACGTGGATGGACAAATGAAGAAAGTACGGCCTATTATGCAATTAGTTTCATTTTTTACAAAAGTAACAGCCAGTTATTATAAAATTTTGTAAATATTTTACAACTACTTCTTTCATTGTTGAAAAGAACGACGAATAAACTTGGTCGCTTCAAAGGTATTCTATCAATGAAATTAATTAATACAACGGTTATTGAAGCAAAAAATAGTTGCCAATATGAACTTTTTAAAATAATTTTTTCGTTAAAAAAAAAAAAAAAAACCGACTGTCATATAAACTTTTGACAACCACTTATTTCGTTGCTGAAAAAATAAATTTATAGACCAAACTTTTTATGGTCGTTGAATACATTTACAATTTATCTTGGCTGACAAATGAACAATGACGTGAATTTTGCTGTCGGATATTCAATGACTACAAATGTAGTTTTTAAGACGACTTATTTAGTCATTATCTTGTAGAGCATGCTTTTCTCGGATTTTACATTTTCCTTGTCACATCAGATACTAGAAACAATCAAATTTCAAGACAAACAACTTAGAGTTGGCCAGAGTTTCAAACTTGCTGTCGCACATAATTAGCAACATTATCATACCCTAGGTAGACTTTGAAGGTTTTGATGCATGAATTCGTGTTACAAAGGATTCCCAAAAAGAAATTATGTACAACTCGTGCTGTTCTACAGTATTCAAGTTGGAAAATCAGCTGCAACATTATCCGTTTCATATACTCCAAAAAAATTGGTAAAATCCAATTAGGAGACATCTGGCTAGAAAATTTGCTCAAGTTTGAATAGACGTTGGCTAAGAATAGAGACAGGGTACATTGCCTATGTATCCCTTGTAAGCTCGCTTTTAGCTTTGCGGGATTGTGAAGTTGTGGAGTTCGTACGCGAATCGACCTTGTAATTTTGATTTAGTCCTAATTTTTCTTATAAATAGGCAGCTTTAGTAGGATTTTGATCATCATAAAAAAGAGATGCTAGCGAAAATAGGATGTTCAATTTTCTTGTAAACATTGAAACAAACCTCGATAAATTTTGAGCGTACTTTTATGTCTTTATTTTTTTTTATTGCGATTTCATTGTTCATTATGATATAGAATTATGATTTCTAGTTCTCAACTGCGAGTGTGAGTTTCAATATCACCGCGCGATTATACGTTCCTTGTAAGTTCGATCAATCTCAAACTTCGAAACCGATCTTTTTAGCTGTGGGATGTGAATCCAATGCAACAGAATGATATTGAACATAGTTCAGACTTTAATTAAGTCTGGATAACATACGGTTGATTCATGATTGTAGACTAAAAATAAGAACATTAATAGTTGATCCAACTGATAAAAATCTGTAGCAAAGACAAACAAAATTGTTAATGTTGACTAAGTCATCAAGAATACTTAAATTAATACCTATGATGATTCCTTGACTAAGTCTATTGTGAGAATTTCTTGAATTATTATAAAACATAAAATAACCACCAACGATCCAACGAAAATTAAATCTCAAATAATGGACGTGTGATAAATGCTTTATTTGTACAAAAGTGAAAAACGACTTTATTCAATAAAAATTTAAATAAAATTTAAGTTACTGTGCTATTTACATTATATAATTATAATTTTGAGATTTATCATTTTGTTGGAAACTTAAAAAATATGTATGAAGTTCATATATCTATTAAAGTTGAAACTATAAAAATAGTCGAGCTTTTGCATTTCAAAAACTTGAAAATTGTGTAATTAACTAATTGTAAGAATTATTAAGTATATATAGTTTTCTATAATTTTATATGTTTAGAATGTATTACTAAATGATTTTTTAGAATGATTAAGTATTTAAAATAATAATAAAAAGGAGTTTTTTTTTTTTAACGCCTAGACTCGTAAATGTTGAAACTTGATTTTCGCACTTCCCCTGTTTGAGCCACATTATTTTTTTCATTCTCATTCTTCTACTTATTTTCAATTACACATTCTTTAATAAAATAATATTTTCCATCACATCAATAATTTTTCCTTATTTTTCAACCACACATTCTCCATCAATATACTATTTCAAAATACAATCTTCCAAAATAATGTGACTCAAACACACATGATTTACGCTTTTTAAAACACTGATTTCGTGCCACTTAAACTGGTGTTCACTAATGATATTAAATAACATTACTCCACTGAAAACTATGCAATAGGTATACACACAATATTTATGGTAGAATTCAGACAGGCAGTGAAAATACAAAGAAGATAAACCATTTCTGCACAAAACAATATTTTTTTATGGTATTGTTACATTGATTAATCCATTCCGGGCTTTGCTAGATGTACATCCAGAGTTACATAATATTTGATGCACATATAGAATAATTCATTCCATATTTATATAATAACTAAGGATTAATCTATTTATACAATGTTGGTTGACGACATTGTCGACAATGTTGTAGGTGGCAAAAAACTGTTAATTCAAAAAATAAGTTATTTTTTAAAATGACCACATCTCACGTGATATATTATCAACAATGTTGTCAACCAATATTGTATACCAAGCATGATTCAATAACTAATTAGAGTTCAAATTTTTATTCTAAAAAACATAGGCCATATGTTTGGTTCAGCTAAAAAATTAAATATATATATTTTTAATTTAATGTCAACGATTAATTTTAATTACACATTTCATGAGATCCACGACTTTTCAACCATGCATTCAATCAATTATATTAAAATCTATTAAAAAAATTAATTTTTACTAAACCAAACAAGGGTAAAGGAAAGTATGAATGGATCAAAATCTAATCCAATATTCAATACCGTGTGCTAAAAATTAGTGGTCAAAATTTTGAGATTTAGTCTAAATGTACCGAATGAGGGTAACGAATGGTGTCCTCCATCTCACAATGCGTGCGGGTCCCATGTGTATTTAAAATTTTTGGCTTGTGGTCCCCACCTCCTAATGTGAGTGAGGTGTAAAAGATTTGATATAAAAATTCGGTACATGTAGCATAATTCAAATTTTGATATAAATTAAAAATGAATATTGTCCACGCGCAGCTTTTAGGAAAGTTCGATTCCCTATATAAACCTTAATTCTCAAACAATTCACAAACCATTGAGAATTTCTTCCATCTGAATTCTCACTGTCTTCGTTTCTGATCATTATGGCCAGCGATGCTTCTCTCTCAACGCCACTCGGCCAGGCGTCTTGCGAGAGATTCGCAAAGGCTCTTCGATTTATTGAAGACATAACTTCAAATGTAGATCAGGTGCAAGAAAAGGTTTTGGGTGCTATACTCGGCCAGAATGCGAGAACTGAGTATCTTCAGAGGTTTAATCTTAATGACGCTACAGACAAGGATGCGTTTAAGTCCAAGGTTCCGGTTGTCACGTACGAGGATCTTCTGCCAGACATCCGACGTATTGCCAATGGCGATCGCTCTCCTATCCTATGCTCCCATCCCATTTCCGAATTCCTTACTAGGTAAAATGTAGTCATACATATGTACAGAAAAGACACATTTTTGCATGGTTATCTGTCCTTATGTGTATACTTATGATGTAGGGATACACACACATAAATACCTTAGATCATGTTTGGCATGCACTACTTATAAGATGCAAAATTTTAGCTTCTTCTTCTTCTTTTTTTTTTTTGTTTAATATTGTTCAGCATATTCTACAATCCAACTTACCAAATAAAATATTAGGGTTTGGAAGTTTAGTGTGACGTGTTATATGTATTTGCAGTTCAGGGACATCCGCTGGGGAAAGAAAGCTCATGCCAACGATTGCTGAAGAGATGGAACGCAGACAGAATTTATACAGCCTTCTCATGCCAGTGATGCACCTGTGAGTATTTAAACTCCTTTCCAACTTATAATTAATTTTTTTTATCAAATTATTAATTAAAAACTATTATCTATGATCAACAGTTATGTGCCAGGACTAGACAAAGGGAAAGGACTATACTTTTTATTTGTGAAGGCTGAAAGCAAGACTCCAGGTGGGCTACTTGCACGTCCAGTCCTTACCAGTTATTACAATGCAGACCAATTCAAGTACAGGCCATATGAACCTTACAATGTTTATACAAGCCCTAATGAAGCCATTCTTTGTTCTGATCCCTACGAAAGCATGTATATACAAATTCTATGTGGCCTCCTAATGCGGGAAGAGGTCCTCCGGGTTGGGGCGGTGTTTGCAGCCGGCCTCCTCCGTGCCATCCGATTCTTCCAGCTCAACTGGAAACAACTATCCGATGACATCTCGTCCGGAACATTAAACCCAAAAATCACTGACCCTTCTCTAACTGAATGCATGTCCAAAATTCTTGAACCTAACTTGGAACTTGCTCAGTTCATCAAGAAAGAATGCCAAGGAGAAAATTGGGAGAGGATAATCACAAGAATTTGGCCCAACACCAAGTATCTAGATGTCATTGTTACTGGAGCAATGGCTCAATACATCCCAACCCTTGATTACTACAGTGGTGGTCTTCCACTTGCTTGTACAATGTATGCATCATCCGAATGCTATTTTGGGCTCAATTTGAAGCCAATTTGCAAGCCTTCCGAGGTCTCTTACACCATAATGCCTAACATGGGATACTTCGAGTTCCTCCCACATGACCCGGTCAACCCAGTGAAACTGTCCCGTGACTCACCTCCCCGCCTTGTGGACCTTGCGGACGTGGAAGTGGACAGGGAGTACGAGCTTGTGATCACCACCTATGCGGGGTTATGCCGCTACAGAGTTGGAGACATTCTCCGAGTCACAGGGTTCCACAACTCGGCACCCCAATTCAAGTTCATAAAGAGAAGGAATGTGTTACTAAGCATCGATTCTGACAAAACCGACGAATCTGAATTGCAAAAGGCCATTGACAATACTTTGGTCCTTCTTAGTGAATTCAACACTAGCATAGTCGAGTACACTAGCTATGCCGATACCAAAACAATCCCGGGACATTATGTTATATACTTGGAATTGCTTATAAAAGATCAAGACAATTTACCCAGTCATCGAGTTTTGGACAAGTGCTGTCTGATTATGGAAGAGTCTATGAATTCAGTTTACAGACAAGGACGAGTGGCAGACAATTCAATTGGACCGCTTGAAATTAGGGTAGTGAAAAATGGCACATTTGATGATCTCATGGACTATGCAATTTCAAGAGGTGCTTCTATTAATCAGTACAAGGTTCCAAGGTGCGTCAATTTGACTTCCATTGTGGAGCTGCTCGATGCACGTATTGTCTCGGTCCATTTTAGCCCAGATGCACCGAACTGGACCCCAACACACTGCTGTTGATGGTGGCTATGGAACGGAATATAAATTGCACAAAGTTTTGGTGCTAAGAAAAAGGTTTTCGCTAAGTCAGAAAATAAAAAATATAAAGATGGCATGTTGATGAAAATTATTTATATATGGATAATTAAATACTACTAAAATAACATTGTGCGAAATACATTTTTAGGTAAAAAACTTATTATCCTTTGTTTTTTACTTATATCTAAGTTAACACTTTATAAAAATTGTGTACTTTTCAATCTTGTAAACCCTAAACCTAATTCCCACCTTAAAGCCCTAGCACAACCACACGCCACCACCATAACCTTGACATGGAGGCATACCTTGCGGCTCGCGCTGCCCCCATCAAAAGCGAGATTTTACTTTTTGTTTTACATTTTAAAACGAAAAACTGATTACCATCATGCTTTTGATAGAAATTAACATGAACTCGTTTTATTTCTTTTATATAATTCTATTTTACTAAGGGTCCGTTTGATTGCAAATGTGGAAAATTGGTGAAAAGAAAATGAATTTCAGGGAATTGAATTGCCTAAAAATTGTTTTATTGGAAATTGTAATTAATTGTGTTTCATTTTGAAATTTTGGATCTTTTGGTGTTCGTTTGATTTTATTTTTCATAGAA